GCATGCATGCATGTATGTATGTATGTATGTATTCATGTCATGTCATGTATGTATGTATGTATGTCATGTATGTATGTATGTATGTATGTATGTATGTATGCATGTATCTATGTATGTATGTATCTATGTATGTATGTATGTATCTATGTATGTATGTATGTGTGTGTGTATGTATGTATGTATGTCTGTCTGTCTGTCTGTCTGTCTGTCTGTATGTATGTATGTATGTATGTATGTATGTCATGTATGTATGTCATGTATGTATGTCATGTATGTATGTCATGTATGTATTTCATGTCATGTCATGTCATGACATGACATGACATGTCATGTCATGTCATGTCATGTCATTTCATGTCATGTCATGTCATGTCATGTCATGTATGCATGTATGCATGTATCTATGTATCTATGTATCTATGTATCTATGTATGTATGTATGTATGTATGTATGTATGTATGTATGTATGTAATGTAATGTATGTAATGTATGTAATGTATGTAAAGTATGTATGTTTGGCAACGCTGAATATGTATATATATATATTATACTATTCAGGCATACCCAACACGTGTTCAGCCTTTCGAGGCAGACCACAAAAAATGACGAAAGGGGGGCGCGACCAGTTTGATATTCATCCAAGTCCTTTCGGCTCCATTCATCAAATTGAAGGTGTGCTGGCTGTCCCTCGGGCATCTTGGCAACGCCGCCGAATAAAACCGAATAAAATCAAATAAAGGATGATAAGGGACGATAAGGGATGATGACACGTCCGCCCGGGCCCTTGCTCTTGAGAAATTTTGACCAAGGCGCCTGGACCCTTCGCTTTGGTTTTCTTCTTGGGACTCTTGGGTGATTGAGATCGACCTGCCCACATCTTGATGTCCATCGAGCCATGGTCAGACAGTTGAGGCGGTAGCTGCAGTTGGGTCAGATGGCCCATTGTGGGTAAAGAACAACTTAAAGAACACCAAGAATATCCTTCAGCCCAAACCTTTCAGAAATGTTGTGGTCCTAAGATCAAATATTAAATCAGGGTGCACCCCATCTGTTCCTTGAATGGTCAATACCATAAAAGTGTCTTTATCAAAGTCTTATCGAATTCAGTGAATTCCAATTCAGTGAGTCCCGAAGTCCTGAATTTCGAGTGGATTCCCAGTTTTCCAAGCCTTTCGGGCGTGACAGGGAACGCTCCTTGCTCTTGCCTTGGATCAAGACATCTGTCAGTTGGTGATGGGCACGAAGAATGCTACAGGGATTCAGATTTACGCCTGCTTCCCTGGGTATGAGTTAAACTGTATGGCCAAACAACTGGAGTTTGAGTTTTGAAGGGTTTACAGTTAAGCTAGACCTGTGCAACAAGTCCAATTTTCCACAGGGGATGTGACCCTGGCCCATCCACTCGGCTGATCAAATCATATTAAAACAAACTAGATAACCAAACGCAAAAGTGGTTTTGATTCAGATTGAGCACTAGAATCACAATTTGATCGAAACTTCATGGGCCATGTTTGTAGATACTTTTATTTGTCTTGGGCAGAACTTCCCTGAAGTATCCGTCTCTGATATGACAGATATGGTATTCAATAAAGGACGACGGGGGCTTTGGAAAAGTAATTTTTTCTTCAAAAAATAGCTCCGTCAGCGGTGCTACAACCTGGCACAGGTCAACTGCGAATGGTCTAGCAGTCTAACATGGTAGAAGCATGAAGGTCTGCAACGGTTTCGATGCCATTCTAGATTCTAGACCCTTCTTTCCTCATCTCCTGGCACACCATTCTAGACCCCCTACTATATCCCCGTCTGTGCTCCAACGTGGGGTACAGTCCTAGAAAAAAATTGGTCTAAAATTACGACCCCTAACCTTTGAGAGAGGTTTTAGAGCTTTAAATTCCTGGTTCCTAACCTCTGAAGCCGAAATCTCACTTCCAACCACTTTTTTGAATTTTCTTTGCTAATTTCCTGGTACCCAACGTCCAACATCCAATAAATTTACCCCTCTGATATCCAAGTAAAAAAATTATTTCCTGGATGCTTGCGTTGGTAACATGCCATATCTTCCCCCCCTCAATCTGATACGGAAAAAAAATGAATTCCTGGCACCTGACTTCCCGGCTGACAGCTCGCAGTTTTTCAGAGTCCACGGCTTCACGAGTGCGGTCCGGCAGATGCCCACGGCAATGCGCAACCCTTTTGCATGGACAAATGTATCTTCAGGAAAAAACGCCTGTTTTGCAATTTGGCCACGCGTTGGAACAAAATTCTTCAATTTGTCCCAGCATTTCCTATCTATGGATGGTTGACCTGGTGATGCGATTTTTTTCCTGTCGGGCCAGCCTTTGAAGATCATCCACGAGAATTCGGCCAAAAAAAGGTCCAGCCCCTTGGATTTTATTTTTGACATCTGCGCCTCGGCCTCTTGAAGTCACCTTTTTTTGGTTGGTGAAGGTGAACATATGTGGTTGTACCCCTTTTGCAAGGACAAATGTATTTTCAGGAAAAAAAACGCCTGTTTTGCAATTTGGGCGCGTTGACACAAAATTCTCGAATTCGTCCCATCATGTCCTATCTGTGGATGATTGGCCTGGAGATGCGACTTTTTTCCTATGGGCCAACCTTTGAAGATTATCCGCAAGTATTCAGTCAAAAAAAGGTCCAGCCCCTTGGATTTTATTTTTGACACCTGCGCCTCGGCCTCTTCAAGTCACTTTTTTTGGTTGGTGAAGCTGAACATGTGTGTCTGTACCCTTTTGCAAGGACAACTGTATTTTCAGCAAAAAAAACATGTGTTTTGCAATTTGGGCGCGCGTTGACACAAAATTCTTGAATTCGGCCCATCTTGTCCTATCAGTGGATGATTGGCCTGGTGATGCGACTTTTTTCCTGTGGGCCAACCTTTGAAGATCATCCGCAAGTATTCAGTCAAAAAAGGTCCAGCCCCTTGGATTTTATTTTTGACCCCTGCGCCTTTGCCTCTTGAAGTCACTTTTTTGGTTGGTGAAGGTGAACATATGTGGTTGTACCCCTTTTGCAAAGTCATTTAAAAAATCATACCCACTCAATTAATCATGGTACATTTTTTCCTGGGGTTTGACATTTAGATATGTTCTAGTAAACTCCCATTTGATCCATCCACCTTCAAATTCCTGGCTACTAACCTTAGGAATTCTACAAACTTACCCATTATCAGAGTCATTCATGATTGATTTCCTGATGCCTTACATACACAGACTGATAGATCAACCCCCCCTCAATCACAACAGGCAGAAATTGATTTCCTGTCACTGTACGTCAGGAAGCTTTCAGGAAAAAAAAACTGGGCCTTTTTTGGTATGATATCTTATTCCTGGCCCCATATCATGCCCCGGGACCCTCACCCACTGTCTGCTAGATTTTTGGAAAATAGTGTTTTTTAAAAAGCGTACTGAACCCCCAGGAAAAAAAACTGGTAGTACAGAGGAGGGTCTACTATATAGTTGAATGGACGGCTCAAAGCTGAAATAACGGAGGTCTCGCTCGATTCTGCGACTGCATAGACGGATACAAACGGTACTGACAAGAGACAAGCAACAGCTTCAGACTTCAGACGGCTTTGAAACAAACTCCACTTCACCACTCATGTGCACACCTCCAAGTCAGTTTTGGCGAGATTTCTACTGTGTTGAGGCCTTCGGGCGCCTTCACGGCCAGTTGTGGCAAAGTTCCTACTGTTTGGGGGTCTTGGGCCCCTAGAGACAGTTTTGATGAAGTGTCCACTGTTTGGGGGTTGTTGGTGGCCTTCACTCACATCGTTCAGAACCGGAGCCAGTTTTCTGGGCGGGGTTTCTGCTACAGGAGCCCATGGGTGTTGTGTTTGGACCCAAAAGCTTGTGATACATTGAACATCATTGAACACGTTTCACTCACACAATGTGTGAAACATATGGCAACCAAGCCCCCCAGAAAAGAAGAAAAAAAAACATGACATTGTGATTGCCGACGGTACCTGCCAGCTCTTGAGGTTTGATTTGTAAGCCGTATCAACACTCAATTCAGGGTACTGATTGAGGATTACGCTTGATGAGGAGGACAAGAGTAAGAACAAAACCTGACAGGTGTGAGGTGTTCAGCACATGATGAGCGCCCGGCTCTTGCTCGGGCTCTTAGCACCTGCGAATGAAGCAAACAGAGTGACAGAACAAGTCTGACGCTGATTTTTCTGCAACGAACCTTCTTGGCTTTTCGAGCGGCCAGACGACATGTGCCTCCTGCAGGTCACAAGCTTCAAATAATTTCAAAGAACTAGTTGGATGGCACGATGGCACTACTTTGCATGATCCTGGCGCCCAGCGCACTGCTTTCAATTATCAACCTCAGAGATTCAGCAGGGGCAGACACCGCCTACAGTCCGCTGTGCCTCTTTGACATTCTTGATGTTTTTTGTGACAACTTCGCAAAATCTCTGAGCATGCTACGCGCAACATTGCCCTCTGCACCTGTGCCCTTCCTCCTATGCATCCTCTATTTGAGTGAAGCTGGCAGCGCAAAAATCCAATGGCTTTTCTCACACAGAGGGGGGAAAGTGATTTTTAAAAAGTTCACTCGGACCACTGCCATTCACATCACCATCAGTGCTACCGATACGACACCGATCAATCCACATGACTCTCAGAACAACAGGCTTACAGTGACCGACACCTCCAGGTTCCTGCCCAGTGACTTCAAATTTCGAACCCTTTAGCGTGTGCCAATACCAGAGGTGGGACTAGTGCTACAATTTTGAACCCGCTTTCCACAAGGTCAGCGGTCACTGAGACCCACAGTTGGTACACCTGCTTAAAACATCTTAAAACCTAGCTCACATGAGCTCGCGATCCGATACTGCCAGTACTTGAGCAACTCAGGAAGGGAAGTCTGCTAGGGATATTGGGGTCACACCATATAAAACCACGCGTCCTGAACTGCGTAGAGTGAGTCATGAATTGAACAAACACCAGCGTGCAAGCTGCGAGCTCCGTTCTTTTTGTTCCAAATCCCCGGTTCCAGTTTGAGACAACTGTCAATGGTAGCATCCTTAGGCTGCTCAGATGTTGATGCGATGCTTCTCAGCCATCCGTCAACTGCTTGAGGGTAACGGTAGTGGTGATCTGGTGTTGATCATTGATCATGTTACTGCCTCCGCGTCCTCGGTGAGTCGGATGGACTTGGCCAATTGGCGACTCCTTTGACCAACGTCCGCTCATGCACCAGAAGGAAATAGCATCTGCGTGTCGTCGGGCAGCTTCACTCGATCAGCAAAGTTCTGCCAAACATGATGAGTGCCATCAAAGTCTCAAGAAACATCAAGAAACACAGGTCAACAGGCAGTCCACATGAGAAAACTATGGGAAAACCCAGAGAAAACCTCATTGTGGCACATCTGGTATTGTTTCAAAGAGGGCTGCTTCAGAAAATGCCAGCCCACGATGGAAACCAGCAAAACTAGATAAAAATGAGCGGTACTGCACTAAATAGCGAGAACAAAAACACCAGACAAAATATTGTTTCCCGGGCCAAAACCTTTCGTGGGGAATTTGAGAACCAAGCGTGCTGCTTCCAATTTTGAGGCCTAGCTTTAGCGGAACCAGCAAAAGCCAGGCAAAGCTAGAACAAGCTAGAGAAAGCTAGAAAATGCTAGAAAATACAGAAAAAGCAATTCCTACTGTAGATGCTTCTGAATGCGCCCTTCTTGAAAGGGAAACAGCTGGCCTTTCTCACGGCTATTTTTTTTTTCACCTCTCACCACCTCTTGAAATCACCCTGTTTGAAGCAGCCCAAGTGGGTGATCGAAAACTGTGAGAAAACCCATAAAGAATATATCCTTTGAATTCCTTTGATTTATCCACGGCACACTGCAGGAAATCAACCATCCCAGACCTCCTCGATGAACTTCTTCAGCTTCAATCCAGAAATCTGATCTCCAGCATTTGCTGATACCCATCGTCGAGGCTCATACTCATGTCCTTAGAAATCTCAGGAACGATCAAAGGACCGTTTCTGTTCGAACGGATATGACGGGGCTCAGGGCTTTCCCTCCCTGGGAACATGAGACAGCATCAAAGCAGGGTCAACATGGATCAAAGGCCTCCGCTTGCTGGATGAAAGGGGAAGGAGATGAAACAAGAAAAGGACTCCACTCGCTGAATCAGTGCCGCTTTGCGGCTGTCTGCCTTGCTTAGGATCTTCGTCAGGCTCTCTTGAAAATCCGACAGGTCCTTGGAGGAACAGATTAGACACATTGAGACAACTGTAAAAGAAGTCTGTTCACAAATTTGGTCACGGCGACTCCAGTTGTCCCACACCCCTCATCCAACAGCATGACAACGGATGACAAGACTCATTGAAGAATTCACCAGTTTTTTCGTTGACGTATTTCCAGCCACCGATGATATTGCGATTCATCAGCAACGGGACATCAAGGGCCAGGGCCTGCCGCACAAGTCCAGTGACAATCTGCGACATGCACGTGATCAAGCAGCCCCCTGAATCCCCTATCGGACCTATCGAATCCGTCTGCAAATATCAGGCGTTCGGCTCTTCTCATTTTGGAGCTAGTGCGCCAACAACAAGCATCAAAAAGGCACAGTTGAAGCCTGCCTGCGTAGTAACGCGAGGAGAAGCATCGTGCACTTGAGGAACAAACAAGAATTTGCTTTGCCTCACGTACTTGAAAAACTCCTCTTGGGATAGGAAGGTAGTTTGAGTGATCTTACCTGCACAATTGGCAGGTATGCTGCAAGCCTTTCTGCCTTGCTTGTCCTTGGTTGCAACTAAAACTCCCGTGATGCCTTGCGAACACATCACCTCCAAAGCTTCCTTTGCAAAGGTCCAGTTTTTTGCAAATGACGACCACCCCACACAGTCTCTGTGGACATCTTGGTCTGAGCCAGAGAATGTGAAGTCATACTTTTTTGGCATGGCTGGGCCTTTGGCCGGCAAGGCAAAGTCAGACTGGGAGAGCAACAAAAGCTTGACGTGCGGTGGAAACACCTTCTCTGGCTCCTTCTCCATGTGCAAAAAACCAGGGAACAAGCCAACGTAAGTATTGGCTGGAAACTTGGCGGAGAAAGGATTTGGCGGAGGCAGCGGGAAGTCTTCAAAACTGCTGATGCCAATAAAGAGCAGAGAGTCTTTGTATTTATTGAAAAGGTCCTTTTGGCGTGAGGATCGGAAGGGGGATCTCACCAGTATGATGTTCACCAATTCGCCTCGTTGATTTCGAACTGGCTGAAACGGGTACTCCTTGATGAGAGTTTTGTACATGGGATGCAAATTTGAAGAAAGGGTTGCAGAGGCCTTGGAGGCGGCAGTGGAAGCAGTGCGCGGTGCACGTAGTGCTTTGACTTCCGCAGGGTTCACAGCGCGCTCTTCGGGCTTCTTGGGCTCTTTCGGCTCAGGGGGCTCAGTGGGCGTGTGAGTTTCCTCCGGTCTTTGACCTCGGAGCCGTGCCTTCAGTCCAGCCGGCCTTGGCCAAGAGCATTGCCATTAACACAACCACTGCATCTAAGGCAAAGCAGTATAAAGTTGTTTGGAAATTTACCAAACATTACTAAACATTACTAAACTTACTAAAGCATCTAAGGCCCCAGGACAAGAATTGCAAAGCACAACAGTCACCAAAAGGATTGGATCAGAATAACTATTCAAATGTCAAAGAATGAATGGGAAGCTGAAAGGTGACTGCATGCAATGGGTAAAGGCACAGCCTCGTTGATGATTCCGGCACCACTTTGGGACGCGGTAGCTCCACTGATTCGACAGGCTCTGGGGGTGCCGATGATTTGGTGAACCTGGTAGCAGCCGATTCTACTCAGTTGCAGGCTGACCACTTTAGCTTTTGGGGAGTACCTTCCATTGGGGGCCGATCTAAAGTAAGCTCTGCGTTTAATCTGTTGGCTTCAGGGCAAATGTAGTCCCAACATAGTCCCAAAGTGGACGGGCAACTAAGGCCTGACATAGCCCATCTTAGGGTCGAAATGGTCAAACGAAAGCTAACCTGCGCAAAAACATAGTTTGTCGTCATCTCTCTCTCTGTCTCTCTCTCTCTCTCTCTCTCGTAATGTTTTTGCGATTTCTTTTCTTGCGAAGCCGGAAAGCCGAATATATTGGTCCAATATATACAGCGGTACCATGGTGCCAATGTGATCCAATGTTTGCCAATGAGCGGCAGTGCATGCCAATCTGTGCCAATCTGTGCTCATCTGTAATGTGTGCCAAGATGTGCCAAATATTTGCCCCCAGCACAGGTGTAGGACACCAATACACAACCATATACATCTGGGTTCAAAGTTGAAGAATGCGAGCATTCTAATTTTACAGTAATTGAAATGAGGGACTCTTGGGCGGCTCTGCGTGAATTTGGATCGCATCTCCACAATTTGGACTGTTGAATTTAGGATCATGATGGATCATGCAATTATATTATGTTATATGCAATTATATCTTGGCTGGGCCAGAGCTTCCAAATGCTTATCGATGTTCTGAGGCCTTTGCCTATTTGAATGCTCATGCCCAACAGCCCGATCAAAGGGCATAGGATATTCTGATATTCCCAAGGTCCAATCCGTCCCTCACTGCAGCTGATGAACGCGCCACTCTGTCTCAGCTTCCCAATCTGAAACACCACCATGGGGTCCTGCCGTTGTTTGATTTCCATTGCACTTGCCCAAGCCTTCGGCCAAAGCTGCCATATCAGGAAAGCCTCACTTTCTTGGCTGTTGACGTGCCAAAAAAAAAGGAGCATGGCTGCGTGGATTCAAATCATTTCTAGTCATGTCTCGTCATGTCTCACATGTAGCCGAATGTAGCCGAGTTACGGCCGGAAACATCAACAAAATGAGTAGCAGTAGCATCCAAGGGTTCATTTGCATCGTGACACGTCGGCATTTCCGCGATGTCAGAGCGTAGTAAATACGCACAAGCATAGCTACCCAGGCTGCATCAGCTACACAGGTGCCAGAAGCCTCAAACCTAGACCTTGGGACCTTGAGAATCTGCGGGCTGTGCCATGGACAGGAAGACCGACAAGATCCGACAAGCGAATCGAGAAGCCAAGTTATTTCACTCTTTGACCATCTTTGACCGAACTCCAACACGTTTTCTTTTTGATCACTGGGGATCACTGGCTTGTCCATCCCAAATTGGGCGCACAAAACGTGCGCTAAAACAACTCCTTGGGAGTTTTGACGCCCGAAGAAACCACGGGTGCAAAGACTTCGTGCAAGGGTGAAAGAACTAACTAGAACCAAACGTCTGCAAGAGGAGGAAGTCAAATTAGTTCAGATTTCAGGACAAATGTTATGTCGTGCTTTGGTGTGCTTTAGCGGCTTGGTTTTGTCAGGAAAGGGGCCCAAACAGCATCCCCCTAAAGCTCGAAACTAGCCTTGCTCACTCTTGCTGCCTACTGGCGACGAAAATTTGAAGCCAAAGACCTTGCAATTAGATGCAATTAGATCGTTAGATCTACTCTCCGCTCAACAAATGTGAACTGCTGAATGCTCGCTGATTTGCCGGACTGGTGCTCCATGTTTTGCTGCAAGCCATCCAAGTTCCTTGCGAGAGGCTTCACTTTGACGCAGAAATCCGACTCGAGCCTCAAATTCACGGTATAGATTGTATACGTGGAAACCGTTGAAACATGGACATGCTCATGGCAGATAAAAATGTGCATCTCATTGTGGTAATGAGGGTTCAACGGCAGTTCGGTCTTTCCAGCTCTCCAGCACAGCCTCGGATGGAAAATCATTCGCCAGAAGCTGCATGGAATCTTTCGGCATATCCCCGAGCTGGGCTGGTGACTTGGAGAATTCTCTGTGGCTGAAGATCATTGGCCTCACCAAAATCGAAGAACCACGTTTGTCCAAGGGAAACACCAACTGGATCCAACTGGCCAAGCGCCAGACTCTCCAGCGTACCTCCTGCAGAGATCTGCAGACTGAGCAAAGTGTTTGTTTGTGCTGCGTGATTTGTATATTTTGTATGCAGACATTCTCTACAGATAAGCTGTGATAAGCTGTCTTTTGGAGACTCTGCCATTGCCGATGCCCAAGCTTTACAGCTTTCAAGAGACTCTCAAGACTCCTGAAAGCTGCCCTGGTCTCTGAAAACCTAGGAGTTGCATTTCAGAAACTCTCCAAGGCAGCATAGCCAGACTAAAGCCACATGGTTCCATGCGCTTAGCTGGGCTTCCTCCTGAGCATCGGACACCTCAAGTCCTGCATAGACCAACTGCTGAGCAAGTGAAAAGTAAAGTATAATCAAATCTGTTCAACATCTCTGCGGGTTTGACCTTCTCCACTCTATCTGTATATGTCTTTATTGACCCGTTGGTGGTGACGTGACATGAAATTCCGAGGAGAGCTCTTCAAAGCTGTTTTGTCCTCCATCCACATGGGAGCTAGCTGCGAACTTTGGTTTCATGACCTGTGGCTTTGTCGCTTGCTGGCTTCAGGAAGGGTGACGGCTCCCTCACCAACTGCGCGCCTTCGCTTTGATTTTGCGATCTGTTTCCTCATTCAGCTCCTGCATCAATCGCTTGCACCGATGGAGCCGATCAGAAGAAGTTGGATTTTTTCGAATCCAAACAGACTCAACAGACTGCCTCTGCCAACTCACTTTGAGTTTCCTCTCCTGGATCGTCTTCGGCAAAGCACCCAGCTGCACTCCGTGCCCATCACCCCGAATGTGGCGAAGAACCTCCAGACTTATCACCAGCTTCAGGACATATCTGGACACACCGACACACGTATCATCTCAAGCCTTCCACTTGTTGCGGCTGAGCCCCGCCTACAGGTCACAGAAAACAAACAGAAGTATCAAATGACTCCTTAAGGATCCTTGAGGGGCTATGATCGGTCGAAAACCAGACTCGAGTTAAAAATCGTCCGACGCATTGCCTTTCAGGAATGACGGCATCACATCCGCGGCAAGTTGACGCAAAAATACTGTTGGCCTGCCAAAGTTCGCTCTCTGGTCTGACTCGTTCCTGCGACACAGCTTGCAATTTCTTGGAATCATCCCAAGAGTGGAGGTTTTGTGTGGGTTGTGTGCGCGGTACGCATCAGAAACATTCTTTTGACAACCAGCCTGTTTACTGCCCGGTCTTACTCCCGCGCCTGATTTCCATCACCAACTAGGCGATGGAGCGTTGGGGATTCAAGCCTTGGGCTGCCCAGGTCCCTTTGTTCTTCATCAGGGCGCAACATTCCAGAAGGATGCTGAGACTGTAGTGCTTGGAGGATCGGGGGACATGTTGGGATCCAACTGTTGTGCAACCTTCATATCTAAGACGCTGTAAGACGCTATTTACCTGTGCCACACATTCTTCACGTCATGTGGGAGTCTCCGAGAGCAGCGCAGCATAGCATCTCCGGCACCAATCAAAAGCTGGTCCAAGTATTTTCGCTGAATGCCACTCGTCAGATCTGGGAGTAACGCGCGGGAGGACTCAACGAGAGATTTCTAACATGGACATGTCCGCGAGCTGCCTCTGTCTCACAAGAGCTGTGCTGTGTGCCCTGCATCCTAGTAGGCTTTCGGCTGCTGCACCACCCGTCACTAACCTGCCATGATATCAAAATCCAAAACGCTGAAAGCACGCTCAGGTACAGTCACGCCGTAGAGTTGCTTTGAACTGGCAATGGCAAGCCTAGTTGTTTCGATGAGTGCAGTGCGTCTGATTCAAGCATGATGATGCATTCAGTGAAAGAACATGAAAGAACATTAATTACAAAATAGATGAATGTCAACATATCCAAAGTGCCACTGTGTGACTGAAACCACTGGCGGAAATTGACTTGGCATCTCTTGGAGATGCGTTTCTGAAACTATCTTTGTTCTAGATGCAATTGGCAGCTGCACTAACAATACAACCAACAGCTGTAGGCTGGTGCATGGCAACTTCAACCGACACCCCGTTGAAAGGCTGAATCTGTAGAGAGCCATCAAACATCATTCAACATCATGAAACATATGTGGCACCATCCGTCACCCCCAAAAACAAGCACCTCCTTTCCCCCCAGTCAGACAGGCCAAAGAAGCATGAGGATCTTTGGCGGAGGGCTGGCCTCCACATCCTGGAGTTAAGATGTGTGACAGACATCTTCCACACTTTTTCCATATCACTTGTGGAGACATGTTGGAAATATTATCATTATATGTGCATATCACATACCTGTGATGCAAATGCATCTATCCTAGGTGTGTAAATATATATATATATGCATACAATTATATATATATATAATGTGTATTTATATATATATATTACTATTACTAGTATCATTATTATTCTTAACATTATTATTATTACTATTATTATTACTATTATTATTATTGGTATTATTACTATTATTATTATTGTTATTATTATATAGGGAAGCTGCCGCTCTTTCTTCTGCCAGCTTATTTGGTCTGTGTGTAGGTGGTTGTGCTCCTTTTTGGTGCACCTGCATCCACCGAAACGCAAAAACATGCAATAAAAGTCAAACAGGTGGACAAGCTGGTGGTGTAGGCGGTGGTGGTGGGATGCTTGAACCAAGGCATCAGTCGATTGGTCGCTTTCCTAAAGTTCCAGGGAAGCTGCCGCTCTTTCTTCTGCCAGCTTATTTGGTCTGTGTGTAGGTGGTTGTGCTCCTTTTTGGTGCACCTGCATCCATTCTTCCCGCTTGTCCCGTCGATTCGACGCTTTGATCCACCTGTTTGAAAAGAAGATTCCACACCTTCTCCGGAAAGTGCGCACTTGCAAACCTGACACTGGTCTGAAGAATCTGAGGAAATTCTGCCATAGCTTGCAGGATGGTTTCTCTGGTCGTCGGGTCTAAGTCTGTCATGAAGGTACTTGCTGCAACTTCTTGAAGATACACCTCCATCACTCGCATCGACAGCCACCTCCCTCTACGGCGTACCATTTCAGCAGATTCAGTCAGACTAATCATGTATGTCGCTCCACCTGGACGAAATGATGCCAGAGTCAACGGTTTCTTCAAGCCCACTGTTTTAGTTGGAAGGCCAAGACGCAGCAAGATTTTGTCAAGTCTTGACCTCAGGGTAGACGGTGAGTTTGGCCACACTTTCTCATAGGGCTTGAGGTGTCCCAGACCCAGCCATGCCACAGCTATCAAATCTGGGGCCTCAAGCTTGCTGCTCTGATGCCGTGCTGCTCGAAATCTGGTTTTTGGCTCTAGGATCTTGATGAGAACATGGTCAATCGTGTAATGCACGTCTTTTGGGAACACTATGTCAGACCTCTTGGCCTTGACAATCTCACCAACTCGCAAAAGCATCCCCCAACACATTGCAAAAATACCAGCCTCACGTGTCCAGCCCCAGATTAAGCAAGTTGACAGTACTGCAAGTAGTACCTGGAAGGGCATTGCCTGATGATGTTCAACAGGCTCATACGACGTCCACATGGCGCAAAGATCCCATGCCTGCTGTAGAGATCTTCGCAGTATTGGCCGCTTTGCACTGACTGAATTGATAGTTTCAGCAAAGTGATAGTATGGCCTATCTTCTGCAAAAAAGATAGCGCCCATATTGACACAATACAGAATTGATCTTATCCAAGTCCGGTGGATTTCCTTGAAACATATCATTGTATGCCAATCCAGAAACCCGCAGCCAACCAGAAAAAGCAGACATCAGCTGAGCCCTGACCGAAGTAGTAAGCTCTGTTACTCTTCTGCCCTCGGGCAGTTCTATGCCCTGCCGCTGCTCACGCCTCAACGCATCGCCATGTCGTCTAGCTACCGCAACTACGCCCCAAAAGTCCAAGGGTGCTAAAATCCAAACTACCAACCAGTAAGGACAAGGGCCCTCCCCAGGAAATCCAAGAGTTGAATCAAAATCCATGAAGGAGCTGGGATGGAAAGAGGACTGGCCATACCTTCTCGAGGAGTCAGGGCAAGCGAAGAAGGAAATCCAAGAAGGACAAAGCAGGAGAGAGAGCCTAATCCAGTTTGCCTCCCACCTCCTAAGACCTGACAGCATTGAAATCCATCGCAGTTCATTCAGGTCAAGGCCATCAAGCACGGAAGCCAAGGGAGGAGGGATTTTGGTATCTCTTGTAGGGTGATCTGCAGGGTTCAACCTTGTTGGAGCAAACCTCCCTGCCTGGTAGAGCCCGTAAGCAACTGAAATCGTGCTGGCTCTTTTGAGAAGAGGGCGCAAAGCATCAGAAGAACTTCGGCCACGCACCAAAGAACACAGCGCAACGTTGGAGTCAATCATTTCCACAAAACGTAGGTCTCCACCTCTTAAGGCTTCCTTCTCGTATGCTCTTAACGCAGCGGCAACCTCAAGTATATTGATGTGTGAAGACCCCTTCCAGTTCCAACTGGAAATTTCCTCCCAATCTGCACCGCGAAGAACTTCATTTGATAGGGCGTCCTCCAATCCTGCAGATGTGTTGTGACATTCTGTCTCTAGGCCTGCCCTCTTGCGGAGGTGTCTGGCAAACACCTGTGCAATTGCTCTGGCAAGACCTTCAGAGTAGGTAGCACTGGCTTTCGTGTACTTTCCTTGCACTCTGACATGAACGTGCTGCCTGGAACATTTCTTGGCAATGGACTTAGCATTCATCGAAACAGTCAGCAAAGCAAACTCCTTCTGATGCGGTGACCCATACTCACAAGATGCAAGGTGGATCTCATCTGCTCCAAGCCGCTTCATGCCAATCCACTGGGGTGTCCACCTGAGCTTCGACCTGCGGGTTGTTTCCAACATGCCAGGTGTCCTAGTCCTCCTCGCAACCAGCATCGTGCCTAGGCAGGAAAACGCTAGGTCATTTCCTTGAAGGACACGAGGGTGTCTTCTGTCAAAGCCTAAGGGTTGTTTGTATGACCTCAGACATGGGTGCGCAGCAGGACTGAAAGTTGTGCAAGGCGGTGCTGCAAGAAAGCTCCTCAGCCTCCCCGACTCACACATAAAAGCAATCCAGGCAAAAACTTTCCTGTTCGTCACATCATACCTGCGGGAATAGCTGATGTCAAAGACTGGAGCGCAGACAAAGCCAAGCAAAATCATTTGCTTCGTAACAACGCCAGCGCCCCCACAAAGCTCTATGAAGTCAAAGGAAAGTCCAATGGGCCGATGCACATCGGTGTCAGGGCCCTGATCATCTTCCTCTTCCAGTTCTTCAAAAGAGGCATCATGAATACGGTGCAGAGAAGCTGTCCTACTCTGCAGCGCAAGGTTCTTGACCTTTTTGTTCGATGTCCTCCAGAGCATCTTTGACAAGTCAGGAGTAATAGTGGCCACTACCAGCCCTCCTTTCCGAGTAGAGGCGTCAGACGCATAAACTCGATCCGAAAAGGGAGCTGCTAAATTCGATGCAGCTAGAGGCCCAAGGCAGGCAAGCACCAATAGCTCCTCAGCAGCTCCCCTCGGCAAGACATGAAGTTTTGGTGTGCTCCCTGCATCCTCGGGAGAGCTCACAACCTTGAAAAGTTTGTTGATATGAGACATCATAGGCCTTCTGTACAGCAAAACTGATATCCAAGAACCAACCAAGCTCGCATGTAAAGCATCTGTGGTGTATGGAAGGTTCGCAATGAGAGCACTAAGCATGCATAGACCAAGCCTTTTGTCTCCAGGGGCCCCAAGGCTAACCAGGCCCTTGTCAACAAGTTCAGTGCACGAGTTTACTTCAGCACCAATCACTTTGAACTTCCAGGCATTTTGCACCTCCTTGTCATCTGACCCAATGATACCTTCACGCTTGTACGCAGCTTTGGCTTGTTCAAGAACTTCAGATGACTTGCTCTTGCCAAGAAAATCAGAACCTCTAGCACTAGGCCTATCTTCCGCAGACACAACGAAAAAGTCATCAATGACCAGACCAGTAACTGGAGAGTTGTGGAGAATGGCATGATGAGCACAGAGACGATTCATGGCACAATGACAACCTGCTTCCTCTAGCATCTGCGCATGTGCACAACAAGCAAACTCTACCCCAAGATGATCCCCCTGGAAGAGCGCTCCAAATGCCGCATAAACCGGCCGATCATCTGATACGCCAATCAACAAAGGGCGCGGCATTCCAAGGAAATCACCAACTTCTTCTCTAGGCCGAGCACGCTGCTTTGCAAAAGTTTGCACAAAAGCTGAATAGGCTGCCGTATGTTTGAAGTCCCCCAGGCAAAAAGCAGGGTAAACCGTGTTTGTAGCTGCTCGTTCATAAGTGACATGAAATTGGTGATAGAAGTCTCTTCTGTCTGCTATCGCCCCAACCAACACCTCATGAAACCGTCTGGCCTCAAGCTGCAAGAGGGCAGTGGCACTTGGGATTTCATGTGAAGGGCCCGGCGAAATGCGCCCCTCAACAAAGTTCCGCCCACGCCTGTCGCCAATTTGCCTGTCTGCAAGCTTGTTCTTGAAGTTGCCAAAAACCCTTGTATGCAAATGCATGTCAGCAGGTTCAGGACCTAGCTCAACAGGTATCAAACGCAAAAGTCCATTCGCGTCCCAAACCCTACACAGCTCCTCAATTTGCCGACAGTCTGCATCAGCAACATCAGGATAGAGGCCTTCAGGTGGTATCACATCAAAAGTATTGATCGCCGGCTCAACAAAGGCCATAAACAAAAGATCTGAGAGGTAATCCTCGCAGTTCCATTCACCAGTTCCTGTCAGCTTGACACGAGAAGCATCAAGTGGCCGATAGGGCCTGAGTTCATCAGCCACATCATTGTTCTCAGGCACTTCTCTTCCGGCTGCAGCATGATGGTACATAGAAGTCGGATTCAACCCAAGATTGTCAAGTGCCGCAACCAACTCCTTGAATCTTGCATCTAATTGAAAAGTCTTTCGGCCACACCCTGACAATGAAATGCTGTCAAGGGGGCCGCACGCCTTGCAAAGCATCCACAGCCTGTTGTAAACAGCCATATGGGCAGCTGAGGGACGCCTCCTAATCAATGACAAGGAACTGAAAGGGTTGCGGAAGTGCTCATAGTTGAGAGCCATCACAGCCAAATGGAGCATCTTCCTAAGCGCTCGGGAACTGCGCTTCTTCTTGCCAAAAGAATCAGGGCCAACCCGAAAGATGTCCTCAAAGGGGAACGGGATGGGGAACAAGGCGGTAGCAGTGATACGGGACAGGGCACAGCAGATCTCGTCTTGGTAGATCTTGCTTGCCCGATGCACTGAATTTGTGATGTCCATCCGAGACACCAACGGCGTGGCTGCCAGCTGAAACCCTGGCCTCATATGGTATCGGCCCATAAAGGGCTCCATCCTCATCCTCAGCCCCTGCAGAAAAATGTGCCTCACCACAACTCAAATCAACCTCCTTTTCCCGCGATGAGTGCCCCGGACCGAATAAAGCAGCAAGCTGCTCTGAGGTAGAAGAGCCCGGCACAGGCACACCCACCGAGGGACTGAGAGGGATACAGCTGGAGCCATCATCAGCTGGAGTTATTGTGGGGCACTTTCTGCATTGGTACTGTCTGTAGGTTTCGTCTTTGGGAAGCGAGTCTTCCTCTTGGGGTTTGCACTGGGCTGAGAAGGATTCGCTTTGGCTTTTGGGGACCCAGTCATCTCTAGTCGCTTTGTACATATATAATCCATTTCTTTGGAGTAGGCCAAGGCAACTGTGGTCCACTGCTGAGGAGCTAACGGACTGAAGCTCTTTGCGCGTGGGTCGAACCCCTGGTTTCTGTAGGACCACAACTGAGCTGGAGGTTCCTCCAATAGCATCATGCGGTAGGCTAGCTCCCAGCGATTTCCATCCAAGTTCGCCTGATCCACCCCTACCATCAAAAGAGCCAGAAAATCCCTGGCACCGTTGATGTCTGAATGGGCAAGCGCATCGAAGATGTGAGCAAGGGCATATTGGATCAGCCCCGGTTCTTTGTATGACCCGTAACCTCCAAAGCGTTCTAGGTACTGAATCATCGAAAAATCCGTGGCTGCCACTTCTTCGATGCTGTTGGGTTTTGGAGATGCCGGCTTCAGACGCTTCACAGCATTTTGCAGGACAGCAAGATAGAAACTCCCTGATCTCGAAGCCAAGTCTTTTTGAAGCCGCTCTCGACCTTGAGAGCCTCTGGTGCCCAACGAGCTGCTCGATGAGGATAGCTGCCCGTCCAGTAGTGGATCGCCACCCTGCTGCATATGAGCCACCAAATTCATGATCGCTTTGCTCTGTTCTAGCATTGCCCTTGCAAAAGGATCTGAGGGCATGGGGCTGCTCTCCTCCGCCATTTCAGTGCCGCATCGGCGCCAGAAGCGTTCATAGCCGTCTGTGCTGGTGCATGTGCCCCAGCCGGACGTGTCCTGGGCGGTGATCCCATCATCTTGGCAAAGTGAGAGACTGACCCCTGAGCCTGCATTGCTCCAGAAACAGGGAGCTGAGTAGGGCGCACTGGTGGAACAGACTGCTGATGCTCCACTGTCGACCTCAGCATATCCTGGTCTTTCCTGAGCTCTGCAATCTGATTGGACATAGTTGGGAGCAGCGTCATAAGCTCCCCAAGCTGCTCCGATAGGGCCGCAGTTGTGACTCTCTTCGGCTTGGGCGCTACTTTGGATCTGTGAGGCTGAGGAGTCACTGGTGGAGTGATGCCGTCCGGCTGTCCTGGCAGTTCTGCTTGCTGGGATGGCAGTGGCAGAGCTTCTACCCCTGGCTCCTCTTCCGCAGAGTAAAAAGCTACCCGAGGCATAGCCTGACCTGAAAGCCACTCTGATGCCATGGCCACCAAAATCGTAGGATCGGGAATCACATCCAGGTCCTGCCCAAATCCAACCAGCCCCTGATCTTCTGATTCTGCAACCTGAGATAGTGGCAAGATGGCGCCGAGTGCTCCTACTGAAAGATCCACCAGCTGAACATCTAGGTCTATCCCAAGGCTCTCTAGTCCATCTTCCACCATACGAACCCCTGGAACTTCCATACGCTTGTGAGGCCCAATGACACCTGCTTCGTCTTGTATGACTGGCAAAGATCTTGGGAGGCATAGTGCTGCAGGCATCGCTACCAGAAAACCACCTCCTGCTGCGCTTCGAGTCATGACAACAAGCGCCACCCCTGGACGAGCTTGCACTAGCAAAGGATCGGGGGGCCAAAAGATTCGAAAAAGCTCCACATTGTCCTGATCCAAAGATACCAAGTCGTTCAACTCCATTGGTACAAGTTTTCAGGGTAAGGGACTCCTGCCCCCAAACAATACACTCTCGCCTCAGCTTTGGATGCAAATCCGTGAGAAATGCTTGGCCCTTCAAAGTCCCGCAGCAAAGCGCGGTAGTCCGAAGCCTTTTCCACGCGAACTGGGCTTGTGATCCCTTCTGCTCTAAGGACAACGTATGTAGTATTGGCCACGTCAATGGGTGTGGTTGGTCTGGGCTTGCTGACCCTTCCAGCCAATGTGAACCGAGCCCAATATCCCGCAGACCAAGCTCGCTGTGCTCGTTCTGTGGTTGAAAGTCTCCCTCCGCGCAAATTGCCACAAAGTTGAAGAGCAGCAGTAGACACAGGAGGAATTTCACGAGCCAAGGAATTGTAAACAGCACTGGATGATTGGACAAGAGGAGCAGGTTCAGCGGGGGGTTCCGAGACCAGCTCAAACTCAGAGCCGTGATTACGGCCTCTCTGAAGGTCTTGGACCTGACCTTCCAACGTTTCCACCCTCAAACTCAATCTCCTTACTTGCTCGGTCAACCACTCAAGTGACCTCTCACCCATGCAAGTAGGCTGATAGCCTGGAAGATGCCCTTGGATGGGCTGGGTGATCAGGACGATATGAATGTGCCTCAGAAGACCTGAAGAAAGCAGGGCATGGTAGAAATCCAAGCCTGAAGGCAATGAAAAGGAAGGAGACCAGTCCCAGGAAGAGGCCAAATCCAAGGCCGGAGCAGAAGGCAAAGATCAATGCCGGGATGGAAGAAGGCCCGCAATGTTGAGGACACCCAAGCCCCCACCAGTTGGTTACAACACCTACCCGCAAAAACTCCACAAGGGACCTAAGGGAGAAGGTGCTGGACATCGATGCTTGAACCAAGGCATCAGTCGATTGGTCGCTTTCCTAAAGTTCCATTCATGTATGTGTATTATAATTATCCTGTACTATATCATTATCTGCCATGAATATATATATATATATAACTATACATTCTTATAATTATTATTATTGTTATTGTTATTGGTGTTGTTATTATTATTGTTGTTATTATTATCATTATTGTTATTATTATTCTCATTGTTGTCATTACTATTACTATCATTATACTATTGTTATTGTTACAAGAATTATTATCATTTAATAATAAAATAAATATATTTTATATTATATTACATTATATTATATTATATTATTTTATAATATATTTTGTTATATGGTATGATATGATATTACATCATATTATAATATATTATATTATATTATACTATATATATTATATTATATTATACTATATATACTATATTATATTATATGCATTTATTCTCGTGGCCCACAGCTGCTTGCGCTCAGAGAGCGTCTGACAAATCCCTTGCTGCACACCATTATGTGTGTGTGTGTGCGTGTCTGATATGTGTTTGTGTGTGTTTTCACTTGCTTTCAGCGGTTTGTGTGTGTGTTTTCACTTGCTTTCAGCGGTTTGTCCTTTTGGGCTTCATGTCGAAACTCACAAATGCTGCATGCTCTGTCCCAAACTGAAATATCAAAGAGATAGTTTGAACTTGTTTCAAGGTTTGCCTCGCTTTGCACAATGATATGTTTCTAATCCACACGAACATGTCAAGGTCTGATCTGGGAATCTTTATTCCGTTTTTCACGGACGGTGCTCTCCCTCGGACGCAGTGGTCGTTCACCAGATTGCACTTCCAATTCCTTTACGACCTGCAGTGAGGGTGTCCGGACCCTCAGCCAAAAATCACAATCTTTCAGCAGTCGCTCACTCGGCACGTCCCGGGCACCTGTTGCACTGCTTCTGCGACTTCACATGCTTGGAGGCCCAGACTCCCCTGGGACCATCGATGACAAGCTGCTTAACGTTTACTGGCAGATTTAAAAGATGATGAAAGACGCTATTAGCCGCTAAAACATAAAAGGATATAAAAGGAACAAACCAGGCAAACTGCCTCACGATCTGGGAAGTCCAGGGTCTTGCAGAGAAAGGTTGCAGGTGTTGGCTCCTTGGAGCATCTGACTGCTTGGGCCCGATAAAGAATCAATGCAGTGACCGTGGAGCCTGTATAGCCCCGGGTACAGCACCTCAGCATGGCACAGCGGCATAGCGCAATGTTGCACAAAAAGCGCAATGTTGTGTCAACATGCAGTTTCGAGATGTTTCGAGCAGAGTTCCAAGAAGCGCACCATCTCTCAAGTCAGGGTCATCCAACACGGATCGGACTCTTTCAATTGTTTGCCTATCGGGAGGCATGTGTGTCAACTTGAACTACCTTGAAGGATCGGAGTGTCCTATCACGTTGAGTGACAGACCTGCAACATGGCAAACTGCTTGTCAGCAAGACCTCCGGTTGCCACTCTTGACCTGGGAATGACTCTATGGAAGCAATGTGTGGATTCAAGATCTTCTCTCCCTCTCTCGCTCTCTATCTCTCTCCAGCGCAATCAAATATTACATACATCTCATTCATATGGTTATATATATATATATTATATATATATAACTGTTGTGAACATCGCAAACAAGATGCACAATCGTAGCGTCCAAGCGGTGCGAGTCACCTGAAGGGCAAAATGGATATAGCCCTGGCTCTTGAACCAAGCAAGCAAATAGCGGAATCCATGCAAATCCATGCCAATCCATGCCAATCCCGGCAAAGGGCCTGCGACCATCCCTCTGGCCGCAGAGTTCTGGCATGCGCTGCCTTGCAAGATCTTGCAAGAACTGACTATCTAAGTCTGTCTGCATCTGTTCCTCTACCAGTATCATCTACCTGTCTTTCGGCCGACCTCACCTCTTCCTCTGCACAGCATGATTAACAGGCATCACCAGCTGCCCTACTTCAGTCAATCTCTAGTTATGAAATGTTATGAATATGCAACCAATGCGTCTGTGTTATAAGATGATATAAGATGTTGTAGCATACATTGGCATCAAATGATGCCATGACCTTGCCACCGAACTCCTGCTATCTCCTGCATAGGTTGGGCCCCAGGCCATTGGCGACCCTGGTGGTGAATCCGCGCTGTCTCCTCCAGTGATGAAAACAGCTTCCAAGCACTGTATAATAAGTATACACAAAATACAGAATCATAATACATTCTTCAACCCTCTGCTGCAATCCTCGAGTAACAGCCCAAGAGCTCTCACCATGCCGCATAAGAATGAAGCCTCAAAACTGACACCAATTAAGTTACATTCCCAAAGAAACGCAGTCAGGCTCGTGCGAAGATTCGTCGCTGACATCTTTATTCTCCACTGTATCCTCGCCAAAACACACCAAGAGTAAACGCGCCAAAACTCATGCAGATCAGCTTTGCTGCAGCTTGTGACTCAATGTCCTGTGGTGCCGATAAATCTGATCCAAATGGCCTGCCAAGTTCCCAGCCACTGTCATGGAAAATTTCTGACCACAAATGTTCCTCAACCAGATCCACCTTCTTGAAGTGCACCATGGTATGGCACGCTGAGCAATTTGAAAATGGCCTGTCAGACTGGTTCATTGTACCATATTGTACCAATGCAACCCTTATACGAACCATTACAAACCATTACAAACCAATACCATGTGAGAACTTGAGCAAAATGCAAGAAGAATCAGTCCTTGGCCGCTCTCTCGTTGGGGTCAAGCCTTGGCAGAACTCAGCGCTGGATAGGGCTGGTCTCAAGCTTCACTGGCTTCACGGCGACGCTTAGCTCTTGGAGAATGACTCTGGTGAACTCGAGGGTGCATACCAGCCACTCCTGATTTTTTTTGGGCTGATCAATTCATTCATCATGATTCATCATGTTTCATCAACCATTTTTCATCATGTTTCCATTTCCATGGCTTCGGCTCAGAGACTGATCTTGCCGGGTTTCTTCTGAAAGTGGCCAGCAAGAACTGGAAGTGACACTGCCGGCACCGGCTGCGCCTTGACAAGTCTGATGCCATTTCATTATCGATTTATTAACTCACTCCCTGTAACATTCGATTTTCAAAGAAGGAAGAGCTTCCAAATCTCCAGAACAGGCCTTTGATCCCAGTCTCTGGTCTTTTGATGTGATTCGTTGGTCTTTTGCTCCCAGCCGGTCAGCTCCAGCACCTCAAACAGCTTGGAAGCTTTGTTAAGGCCTGATAGATAAGGATGGCCCAAGTGTCGCACGTATCTTCCCAACTTGTCCCGATGCCTCAGCTCATTGTTTGCAATCCTACCTAGTAAAATAGACATTGGGGAGCATACCCCATTTTCAGACAGACCCATATTAGCATCGCCAACTGTGAAAGTGCGATGTAGCACGATTTGTTTCGATTCTCTCAAGACCGCGCATGATGTGTTAGCTATCCGAGGAACACTGAGGCTAGAACATTTGCTGTAGCAGAGTTGGAACTCGAGCTTGGCCGTGAGTCTGACTCCTGCCCACACTGTGAAACCACAGGCGACAAACAGGATGACCAGCAGACTGGGAACGACCGGCAGGAAACTTTGAATCCTCTGGAAGTAGAAACTTCATCGCCAGCGAGCCAGGCTTTGGTCTGAGCAAAACCTGGACAAGGGCAAACAAATGGCATGAACGGCATGAACTGCACACAAATTGCAAACAAAAAACCACACCCTCGCACCTAGCCTTGTCCTCCAAAACGAAGAGATGATAAAAAGCCCTGCGGACCATCAGCATTCTGCCCCACTGCTGCAGCCTTAGACATTCAAGCAAGTGCTGCAACCATGATTTGTCTCTGAAAATTCTGTCACTTGGTCACTTGATGGTCAAATGCACCTTGCGTCATGGCTAAATCTTATCCTTGGTCCTCCCACTTCATGGCGCTTAGATTCCGCAACATTGGCTCTGTATCCTCAAGGCAGCCGGGATGGAATGTCTGGAATCTGGAACTCAGAACATTCCAGTCGAGCATCATGCGTACCAGCCCTAATATACCAAAAAGGTTGCCGAATATTGCGAAGTTTATGTAAGGCCAGGACCGACTGAGTGAACCTGGACTTCATGGACATGTTTGCGACCTTGGCTCACTCAAACCCAGCAGAGTGACTCCCCAACCACTGCTCAAGCACAAGGAAGGTTCCAGCATGCAACATGCCTCATGGACTCATGTCTGCACTGTCGGTCCACCAGCAACTCTAGCAGCTGTTCGCTCTTCTTTCACAGCCTGCAACCCCTAAAGATTTAAAGATGTCGCTCTCCACAAATCAAAGCACCCTGACCCCTTGAGGTGCATGTCTCATCCAAAGCAGGCTCAGCATATCAAATTTACTGCCTTGACAAATTAATCATCGTCATCTTCAACTCCGCGACCACGTGGTCAGAGCCATTCCTGAGGCAATATTCTTGCCCAGGACGAATGACCATTGAGCTGCCTGTTGCGAGGGTCACGATATCTTGGTCGACCTGGGCATCAAATGTCCCATCCTGGCAATGCATCACATAAATCAGAAGAGAGCGAGTCTCTGCCAGCTGCTCCGGCGTGTTGAAGGAGCGCGGAGGGATGTTGATGTCACAGCTCATCCAATTCCCATTGTCCAAACCAACACGGAGTTCACAAGCATCGGTGGAACCATCCGCAATTGGAACACGCACAAAGCCATTTGCTGTGTGGCTTGGCCGCGGACGTGGCGGGGTGGCCTCAAATGTGGCTGCAGCTGCAGCAGTGCCCACCTCCGCTGCCATCTCAACATGGCGGCGAGAGCTACGGCGAGACTTGGCCGTCTTTGGAGCCGTCTTTGCCCTCTTTGAGCCTCGCTCTGGCAACTCCTCTGGCTCTGGCAGCTCTGGCTCCATTGGCTCCATTGGATCCGTTGGATCCGTTGGATCCTCCCCAAAGGTAGAAACCTTCTCCTCTTCACTCTGTCCAAACATGTAGGTGTAGTCAGAGCCGTTGCTTGGCAATGGGCTCAAGGCCTTGTCTTTCATGGGGCTGGCTTCATACCTCAAAGCATCCTCTCCAAGGTGGAGTTCCAATGGAATTGCTTCCTGGTACTGATCGTTCACCACTGGTTGTGCTACCATGACTTTGCAAATCGTTGGGCAAGCGGATCCAGGGACCCGCTCATACACAACTCGTTCATTCTGCCAGCCTCTCAACACCCTCATCTGCTTTCGCTTCGGCCGTCCTTCTGCTTGGTTGCAGCTGCGAACCTCATCCATATCAACCGGCACAAGCTTGACTTCGCCATCCCTTGGCAATCGAACAGGATCTATTTGAGCTCGCTGCCTTCTTGGCATTCGCGTCTTCTCCGGTGTCGTCTGCTGTCCCTGGTCCATCCTTTGCACTGTTGGAGGTGGTGTTTCAAGTTGATGAGAAGCCTGTTCGTCGGGCACACCTGAAGGCGCCAAGGGTGACTCTGCCTCATATCTTGGGGAGTCAGCACCTCCCATGTCATTGCGCACATCCCTCATATCACCACCCTCTTCGTGGTCCAGGAAGAGCTGACCCTGGCTGAGATCCGGGGTGGAAGGCTGGTCTTGATCTGCCTCATCACGTGGAACGTGAGGTAATTGGCCTTGTGTCTGCTGCGACGAGGACTGCGTACCAAATGGCGGCGCTTGTGCTGAAGCCGGTTGGCTGGAATGGGCTGGTGCAGCCTGCTCAGGGACAGGTGCTTCTGTTCTTCTGGGTGCAGCCTCAACTGGTGGAACTCCAGTAGCCGGGGTGGCAGCCATGGGAGCCAGGGCTGGAGGAATACCACTTCCTGATCTCGCCGGGTGCCCTTGACCTTCTGGTGCTTCAAGTTCCTCGGGCATTCGCCCCATTGTTTGCAATCCCATGGCTGGCACGGCTGGCTCACTGGCAACTGCGGCATGCCCTGGTGCCACTCCCATCTGCACAGGTCTCGCTGGATATGATGGTTGAGGATGCACTCCGATAGACCCATGAGTGGGCAACGGAATCTGGGCAGCTGCTGTAGCTGGTGGCACAGCAGCAGGCAGCACAGCTGGCGGCACGGCTGGCGGGACAGCTGGCACGGTCATGCTTGGTGCATGCACAGGTGCAGGCACTGGCGGTGCCATTGGTGGTGCCATCGGTGGTGCCATTGGTGGTGCCATTGGTGGTGCCATTGGTCCCTGGCTCAAAGCCTGTCCAGCTCCTGAGAATCCAAGCGTTCTGGGATGCACAGCTGGCAAGGCACCAGACAAATCTTGCTGAAAGGGTGGCACCCTCTGACCGGTGCTATACCCAGGCTGCATCGCACTGTATGGGTATGCTCCCTGATTGATAGAGCCCTGTGATGCAGGTGGACCAGCATATCCCCAACTTTGAGGAGGGAAGCCAGCCGCCATTGGATTTGCAAAAGTCGCCTGCGGGCGTTGACCAGTTTGCATGGGCACTGCAGGGAAAACTTGACCTTCTGTTCTCAAGTGTGCCGATACTTCAGGTTCTGCTGGTATAGGTCCTGCACTTTGCGGGCCTGCAGGTGGGGCTCCTCCATGTGGTGGGGCTCCTCCATGTGGTGCGGCTCCTCCATGTGGTGGGGCTCCTCTATGTGGTGGGGCTCCTCCATGTGGTGGGGCTCCTCCATGTGGTCCTGCACCTGGCACTCCACTTGGCAGTCCTGCTCCGCTGTGGGTGGAGTCAGGTCCCAGCCCTTCTGGAGCAAATGGCCTGGGTCTTCCACTTGTCTCACCAGGTGCAGCTCCTTGAGAAGAAGCATCTGCCATGTATCCAGCCCCATGTGCCGGTGCTTCTGGTGCGGGTCCATCCCCTGTCCTGCCTGGTTGGGCAAAAATGGGAGCCCTTGATGGAGTAGGGTAAGCTCGCACATGCACCGGGCTAAGTCGACCTGAGCTGAGACTGGTGCTTGGGAGTTCGGCCGCAGGCTGGTGAGCTGTTGGAGCAGGAATGCGAGGCACTCCAGCTCGAAGTTCATGCGGATCTGCCACAGGTGGAGGCGGCTCTGTGGCACTTGGATGCGCAGTGCTTTCCAAACCTGCAGCTGTGTCATGTGCATACCTGCCAGAAGGATGTGGTCCTCCTACACCGCCAGGCCCGGCTGGTGCATCTGGGCTTGGGTAAGAGGCAGTGCATGGCACACCATGCTGACAGCAGCGCATGATTCCATCTTGGCTGGAGTGGCAGTCCCTCTCCTGCCGAGAAGGCTCCTCAAGTAGCTCATCATCTGCTGGGACTCGCATGGGGACATGACAGTGGCCATCCTGGAAAAACGAAGCTAGGTAGTCCATGGATTCCTCGGTGCGAGGAGACAATCCCATGATACTGTCATCCATCAGGTCATTACTTCCTTGTCCATAACTGTTTGGTCTGTCAACAGGCCCCTTAACACGCTGTGGCGAAAGGGATCGGCGTCCTCGAACTGGTGATGGCATGGTATGGAGCGGTGCTCTGGGTCCAGCTTCAGGAGCCAGAGGACCTTCAGTGCCTTCAAGTTGCAATGGAGAAGGTGATCCAGGCACGCCCCTGGACTTCTCAGGTGGTGAACTGGGAGTCGGACCATCCATCTCAGTGAGTTGAATGTCATCAATGTAGCGACCCAAACCTCCATCACCAGCCTCACCATCCTCACCAGCCTCCCTCAAAGCCCTATCAGGTCTACCTTCTACATGAGAGGGCCCCTCATCGTCGGACGATGTCTCCTCAACATTGGGCGACCTGATGGCAAAGTCAACTGAGGGAAGCCCATCAGCCTCTAGTCGCGGATTCTCCGGCATGAGGATCTGCCAAAGACCACAGCAACAGGCAACTCTTCTCTTTGCAAACACTTGAGCCCAAAGATTCAGAAAGTCGCGGAAAAAAGAGTCATCCGTGTCTCAAGTAAATGTACGCGAGAGTGTCAACAGTGATATGTTGCGATTTCTGACCGAACTTGCTGAATTGAGACTTCAAGAGGCTGCTGTTCCTATCAACGTGACATGCATTGGACGAGATTGTTCCACGTTTGCAAGCTTTGCAAGGTTCGCACCTTCGATTTGGCCATCCTGTCAGGGGGCTGGTTTTATCCAATACAATACTGAACTGGTGCCATCTTCCTTGATATGTTGGCGCCTTGCAAATGCAGTGATATATTCGGACAAAGGGTTGCTGTGTTGTCAAAGGATGAGATTTTTGCCGGCTACTGGAAAAGCCCTGATCCATGAAGGAGTTCTTTCTGTGGAGCTACATTATTTTCATCAGCTTTCACTGGGAATAGTATTACACAGTACTTCCCGGAAACCTGTTTTGTCATTCTGGTGATGTAACTTCTGCTCATGGTTCTTCGTATCTGGGCCAGGAAAACATAGTTAGCGACAGTTAGTGGTTCAAAAACACCCACAAAACCAAACTGGCAATCAAAGGCTGAAGCAGAGCAGCGCTTGCCAAAAGTTGGTGATTCTTTCATGTTGTGCGCTGCGTTTTTTCTGCGCCACAGTTTTCAAAGAGAAAGCAGCTCAGGTCACAAGGCAAAAAATAGTCATCGTGAGGCAAATTGTCTCCAGCAAAGGCCTGCTTGGTGCATGCGCTCAATGCTCATTCTGAGCTCAACAGGCACGGGCTTCCACCATAAGTTCTACTATAAGCACATGGATAGGGGAAGCCTTGTTGGCCATCCAGCTGTCAAACGGCTCGAGGAAATAGACGGTGTTGTAGGTCCCTCTGAAATCGCCACCGGAAGAAAGAAGCGCACAGCGGGTCAGGAATTGCATGTAGTTCCTCATGTGCGCTTGCCTTCCGTGCAGCTGTATGTAGCATCAATTTCACGCCTTTGGTCTTGTACATCATCCATTGTGTAGTCAGCCAAGCTGGATAAGAATCGCTGTGGTATCCTGAACATGTGGCCACAGTTGGATCGAATTGGGAAAACCATACTACTGCAAAGCCATACTGCAAAAGATTGGTTGATTAGAAAAAAACTGGCCAGCAGGGCGTCACATGAGCTGCCTTCCTCCTCAAGTGCAAAAGGATTTCAACAACGCTCTGCTGCACTGCTCCCTCTACACTTGTTACTTGTTACACAGAACAAAAACATGGTATTACTTGTGACCATGTATGACCCCGCATGACATGTACAAGTGGCGAAACTACTGTCCATGATCTGTGCAACTCCGTCCTGCTTCCAGCGCTTGCGAGCTTCGCGCTGAAGTTTCTCCGCCGTCCGGTACAGCCGGATGAGAATGGCACATGTTCAGAGTGTGTCTGGGAAAAAAAAACTGATAATGCTTCAATCCGAGAGCCAGAGCTCGGCAAAGCAAGAGTCATCGTCATCACCATAGCTGTCAAGTCTAGTCCTCGTGGGCCCATCAGATGATATGATTTTTGCAATGGCCTCAGCGCATGCCAAGGTGACACCAACCAAATGCATTTGTATGAACACAAATGCAGTGAACTGGAATGATATTCTCTGATATGTACACTGGAGCTGACGAGCTGGCCTTCACAACAAACTCAGAATCTACAAATTCCCAAATGCCATCACCTGGCCGCAAATATCCAACAAGTTACCTCGATTCACTGCAAAGTTCAGTTGCTCTTCATGCTGTATCCAACCACTCCACGCTGAACTCTATATATATATATTTGTACATCAAATTTAGGAAGTTGCATGTTGAGACAGCAACTGATTGTGCCTGTATTTGCGATTCTGATAAATGCAGGCCAAGGAACTTGCTAGCACCATGAAAGGTTTGCACCCAAGTTTCACCTTGGAAGCCCCAGATTCCCAGCAGAGAAGCGTCTGTCAACCAAGTGCAAAACTAGTCTTAGACATTTCGGAGAGCCTCTGTAACTGACACATCCGGCACCCCAATGACGCCGTAGTTCTGGAGGGCAAGTGCAAGTCCCAACCGGTGGGTTCAATTCAAAATTAGAACATACCTCTCTCTCTCGTTCTCTCTGGGCTTAGCAAAATCACAACTAGGAAGCAAAAAGCGATTTGTCACTTGTAATTTATAATTTGTGACATTCCAAATTCCTGCTGCTAGTCTTGCCCATGGTAGTAATGATACCCCACGTAAATGCATGTAAATACATAGAGTACGAGTACGTTGTTGGGAGATGTTGGGAGAAATCTACAGAACATGGTTGCTCCTCTATCCTATCTATTTAAATTTCATGCAATGGGGTAGTGAAAACGCGTCACATGCGAGTGGGAATTCAAAACCTCTCCTTGGCAATGAGATCGCCAATTGTTCGTGACCTGATCCGCGATTCTTGGATAAGGAGCGTTTTGGATAATAAGGAGAATGAAATTGTGTTGACAAATTAATTACTTTCAGCAAAATTGCAGTGCTCTAAGGTTCTCTCTTGCACAAGCCAGGAAAGTCCTGTGACATGGTGTGACTGCATACTTTCAGCGCGTGGATCGAAGGAAGACAAACTTGAAAGGCGTCCTTCCCTTCAGCAAACACACGGTGCACCTCAGATGTAGCTAAAAAGGGTCTCGTATGGTCTCGTACAAGGCTACATCATTCAAAGGTCTGGGAGGTTGGCTGTCAATCATTCAAGGTCTTGACACAGAATTTTTTGTACAGTTGAGGCTCTTGCTACCCATCCATCTGGATAGATTTCAGACCTAACCTGACGCAGGATGCTATTTTTGTGGTGCATTTTCACAGGTTTGAAACGATTTTGCCCAGCAACTCATCTCGCAATCCAGCCTCTCCGCCAGAGGCTTGGATCCTTGCCTGACCAATAGCTACCCGAGGTTACAACCGAGATGCCGTTCACCTCAACCTGATGGCACATGAATCCCCGTTCTCGCCTGTTCCTTTATCACATCGGGTTTGTGGTCCTGACACTTTGACAATTGCAACGGAAGCACGCGCAGTTCACAAATTGAGAATAATTGAGACACAACAAACACCTGGAAGACTAGAATTTCTCCAATCCAAGACCAAACTCAGCAAGGTTCCCCGCAGCCTGCGTTGCAAATGCCAACTCCCCGGTATGCTCCAGACCGATCACGCACCTGCCGTCATCCGAGGCTGAACAGGCCAATTGGACATGCCCAAGCAGGAAAGCACCTGCAATCACCTCAATTTGCCTCGCCATATCTTGCCATACCTTGCCATACTTTGTGATACCTTGCCATTGCCATATATTGCAATCTAGTCTTCATATCATTTCATATCTTGTCATATCTCTTCATACCTCTTCATATCTCTTCCGGTCTCTTCATATCTCATCATATCTCCTCGGATCTACTGAGATCTCTTCAAATCTCCTCATATCTCTTCATGTATCCTTATATATATATATCCTCATATCTCTTCAAATCTCCTCACATCTCTTCAGATCTCCTTATATCTCCTCATATCTCCTTTTGTCTCCTTATATCTCTTCATATCCGCCGACCCCTGCCTAACTTTGGCCTAGGCGGGGCGGCGCCCGGGATCACCGTAGGTGTGCAGCATGGCCCGGTGCCTGCTTTGTCCTTTTCCATGGCCCCTTCAAAGCTTCAAAAGCTTCAGAAGCTGCTATCTGGCACGTTTTCAGCAACCCTCCCAGCAGCTTTCGACGGCGTTTCGCTGCTTTGCCATGGGTCCTCCCGAGGCCCCACAAGCTGTTTCTGTTGGGCTTCGAAACTGCTATCTGGCACTTCCGAAGCGCCACAAGATGTTTCTATTGGGTTTCGAAACTGCTATCTGGCACGTTTTCAGCACCCCTTAAAAGCCTCAAAACCCTCAAAACCCTCGCAGCAGCCTTCGACGGCCTTTCGCTGCTTTGCCATGGGACCTCCCGAGGCCCCACGAGCTGTTTCTGTTGGGCTTCGAAAATGTTATCTGACACTTCCGAGGCGCCACGAGCTGTTTTTATTGGGCTTCGAAACTGCTATCTGGCACGTTGCAACTTTCGACGGCCATTCGCTGCTTTGCCATGGGTCCTCCCGAGGCCCCACAAGCTGTTTCTGTCGGCTTCGAAACTGCTATCTGGCACGTTTTCAGCGCCCCTTAAAAGCTTCAAAGCCCTCAAAACCCTCCCAGCAGCTTTCGACTGCCTTCGCTGCTTTGCCATGGGTCCTCCCGAGGCCCCACGAGCTGTTTCTGTTGGGCTTCGAAACTGCTATCTGACACTTCCGAAGCGATACAAGCTGTTTCTATTGGGCTTCGAAACTGCTATCTGGCACGTTTTCAGCACCCCTTAAAAGCCTCAAAACCATCAAAACCCTCCCAGCAGCTTTCGACGGCCTTCGCTGCTTTACCATGGGTCCTCCCGAGGCCCCACGAGCTGTTTCTGTTGGGCTTCAAAACTGCTATCTGACACTTCCGAAGCGCCACAAGATGTTTCTATTGGTCTTCGAAACTGCTATCTGGCACGTTTTCAGCACCCCTTAAAAACCTCAAAACCTTCGAAACCCTCGCAGCAGCTTTCGACGGCCTTTCGCTGCCTTGCCATGGGACCTCCCGAGGCCCCACAAGCTGTTTCTGTTGGGCTTCGAAACTGCTATCTGGCACTTCCGAAGCGCCACAAGTTGTTTCTATTGGGTTTCGAAACTGCTATCTGGCACGTTTTCAGCACCCCTTAAAAGCCTCAAAACCCTCCCAGCAGCTTTCGACGGCCTTTCGCTGCTTTGCCATGGGTCCTCCCGAGGCCCCACGAGCTGTTTCTGTTTGGCTTCGAAACTGCTATCTGGCACTTCCGAGGCGCGACAAGCTGTTTCTATTGGGCTTCGAAACTGCTATCTGGCACGTTGCAGCTTTCGACGGCCTTTCGCTGCTTTGCCATGGGTCCTCCCGAGGCCCCACAAGCTGTTTCTGTTGGGCTTCGAAACTGCTATCTGGCACTTCCGAAGCGCCACAAGCTGTTTCTATATTGGGCTTCGAAACTGCTATCTGGCACCTTTTCAGCACCCTTAAAAGCCTCAAAACCCTCAAAACCCTCCCAGCAGCTTTCGACGGCCTTTCGCTGCTTTGCCATGGGTCCTCCCGAGGCTTTCGACGGCCTTTCGCTGCTTTGCCATGGCACCTCCGAGGCGCCACAAGCTGTTTCTATTGGGCGTCGAAAATGCTATCTGGCACGTTGCAGCTTTCGACGGCCATTCGCTGCTTTGCCATGGGACCTCCCGAGGCCCCACGAGCTGTTTCTGTTGGGCTTCGAAACTGCTATCTGGCACTTCCGAGGCGCGACAAGCTGTTTCTATTGGGCTTCGAAACTGCTATCTGGCACGTTGCAGCTTTCGACGGCCTTTCGCTGCTTTGCCATGGGTCCTCCCGAGGCCCCACAAGCTGTTGGCTGTTTCTATTGGGCTTCGAAACTGCTATCTGGCACGTTTTCAGCACCCCTTAAAAGCTTCAAAACCCTCAAAACCCTCCCAGCAGCTTTCGACTGCCTTCGCTGCTTTGCCATGGGTCCTCCCGAGGCCCCACGAGCTGTTTCTGTTGGGCTTCGAAACTGCTATCTGACACTTCCGAAGCGCCACAAGATGTTTCTATTTGGCTTCGCAACTGCTATCTGGCACGTTGCAGCTTTCGACGGCCATTCGCTGCTTTGCCGTGGGTCCTACCGAGGCCCCACAAGCTGTTTCTGTTGGGCTTCGAAACTGCTATCTGGCACTTCCGAAGCGCCACAAGCTGTTTCTATTGGGCTTCGAAACTGCTATCTGGCACATTTTCCGCACCCCTTAAAACCTTCAAAGGCTTCAAAACCATCCCAGCAGCTTTCGACGGCCTTCGGCTGCTTTGCCATGGGACCTCCCAGGCGCCACAAGCTGTTTCTATTGGGCTTCGAAACTGCTATCTGGCACGTTGCAGCTTTCGACGGCCTTTCGCTGCTTTGCCATGGGACATCCCGAGGCCGACGCGCCACGAGCTGTTTCTGTTGGGCTTCGAAACTCCTATCTGGCACGTTTTCAGCACCCCTTAAAACCCTCAAAATCCCAAACACTCTAAACCCTGGCAGCAGCTTTCGAGGGGCTTTCGACGGCCTATCAAGTACCACATCGGATAACATCAAATAACCATGGCCCTCAAAATGGGGGTCGGCGGCACCAGGGCGTTAGCCCATTTATATCTCCTCATATCTCTTCATATATCTCCTCATATCTCTTCATAAATCTACTCATATATCATATCTCTTTTCAAATCTCTTCATATCTCTTCAAATCTCCTCACATCTCTTCAAATCTCCTTATATCTCCTCATATTTCGTCATATATCTCCTCAAATCTCTTCATAAATCTACTCATATATCTGTTCAAATCTCTTCATATCTCCTCTTATCTCTTCATATATCTCTTCATATCTCTTCAAATCTCCTCATCTCTCTTCATATCTCCTTATATCTCCTCATATCTCTTCAAATCTCCTCATATCTCTTCATATCTCCTTATCTCTCCTCATATCTCTTCATAAATCTATTCATATATCTTTTCAAATCTCTTCATATCTCCTCATATCTCTTCAAATCTCCTCACATCTCTTCAAATCTCCTTATATCTCCTCATATCTCTTCATATATCTCCTCATAGCTCCTCATATCTCTTTATATATATATATTATATATATATAAATCCTCAAATCTCTTCATATCTCCTCATGTCTCTTCATATCTTTTCATCACAACTTTGCCTTGGGCCTTGGATTCTGTTGTGGTGTGGCAACAAATTGTATTTGCAGCCTGCAGTCACCGCAGTGAGCTGTGTAGACCGTGTTGCCTTTATAGACCTTAGCAGCAGCAAAGCGCATATTATATTTGCCTGCTGGTATGATCCGTGTGGCTGTGCAACAGGACATTCATGCTATATAATTCCAGCGCGCGTCTAAAGATGCTGCTGCAAGCACAACTGACGCTCCGCTGGCCTGTGAAGAAAAGAACATGTCAATTCAATTGGTACTTTGAAGCGTCGTGAAATCAAGACATGTTACATTAGGAGCAAGAAAATGTGGTTGAACCCATCTTGCCTCGCATTCCCACCCAAATTTTGACGCATGCGCAATGAGATCCTGCCATGTTCAAGAAACCGCGTGATCAGCATGGCCAACTAATACAGCACCTGAAAATTAACAACTCAGTAACTCACAAACCTGAAGTAAAGTCATTTGGGGACGATTCCTCCTACTAAGTAGCCATCTATCGTGACCTCGTTCTGAGGTCAGCCAAAATTTTGGTATATAGTCACTGCCCGCCCCGACACCCACCTTCTCCGCAAATTCGAAGGCAGCTTCCTCAAAAACAACTCCATACTGTCTATACTATCTATACTATCTATACTGTCTATACTGTCTATACTAATACATCTTCAGTAGCTCGGTGCTGCTGCACCAAGGCGACCACAATGGCAGCAGGGAAGGCCGTTTCCTGGCATAAAGACACAAGCACGGTAGGACTCCAGGACCATTTTAAAAAAAAAACGGCAAACATTTTGCGTTGCGTGAAAGTTTTGCTGGCATTCAAAACGTTCACCATCAAGACACCACCTCGCACGGCTGAAGGCGGTGAGCGAGGGCATACCTTTGCGAAAGGATGTGAAAACCGCCATGTGACCCCAAATGCCATGTGACCCCAAATGCCGCCATGAACCAACTGCATAACAAAACTGATTTTTGAGATCCACACAGTAAATTCTGAACAAGCCGACTGGAAACCATATGACCGTAGACGCCATGTCCATCCTCAAAAGTGCCAGACGAGTTCAGGCTAAGCAGCTACCTGCAACCAGCCTGCAACCAATGTATTCAAGTGGCCGCACAGCATGCAAGCGTCCACCCGTTCTTAAGGTAAGCCACTGAGAAATTGTCCTGCCAGAGCAAACGCGGCGATGGCTGTTTTTTTCGGATAATGTATTTCTTCTGGCGCTCCTGGTTGGGAAGCAAGCCAACATTGCCCTTCATGCATGTTACGACCTCATGCAATGATGATTTCTTACGCTAGCAAGAAAGGCAGAACAGATTTCTCTAACGGCATGATAAGATCTTAGCAAGAAACAAGGACAGAACCCTTGGTTTTGGTTTATGATATGTTGCATCATGATCATGAAACACGCAAAGCTAGAAGATGCACGGAACATCCACAAAGTCAGAGTTGCTGAGACTTTTGCTGGAGTTTTTTTGCCCGGAAACTGTTTGTTCCCAGTGGTCGTATGCCATACCTTCTCTCGCTCCTCACCAACCTCTGGCTAGAACATGGGAACTTCTGCATCTGGAACAAGATGGGGGTCTGCAGAAAAAAATGCGTTTTCAATGGCCAGCAGTGTTTGTAAAAATAATCCTCTGCAAGGCTCACGATCATGTACCTTTGATAACGAACGCTGTCAAAATTGAAGTACTAGTAGTTGAAAATTATCCGAAAAGGAGAAATATAAAGAAACACTATCAAAACAGAACACGGTCACCGTGGCATGGCACACGGATCTGTTTTCCATCTTGTGCCAAAACAATACACTGACATCTATGGCGAGTGACCTCTCAGGGAGAATGAGAAAGCATGAAAGTAGAGGATGTGATTACTTCATGCAAACATGCATCTAGCGTATGCCGAATTACGGATGCACAGATGCCTGGCGCGCCCCCTTGGCAGCTCCAAAGAAAGCCCAAGAGACGTCATTCAGCACAGAAGACAACATAGCAATAAAAGATCGATGGAGGGGAAACCGGCTGAAACCACACATGAAGCTGTGCTGTCATTTAACAAATTTAACTGAACATCAGCTACCGCGGCTTCTATAGAGAAAGGATAAATGAATTCCAGGACGCAAGACGTCAAATTCTTTATATATAAGTTTTCTGTGACCTGTTAGTTCCTTGGTTTGCTAATGTTTGCTATACATTTGCAACCTACAGTATGCGTAATTACCGATGCTTACGAATGTTCGGCGTGGCTCTGATTCAGGGATGGGGAAGCAATCGTATTACTGGCATGCGGCATGCTTAGATCATGTCACCTGCAGGAAATCATAGAGGAAACCTGTGTGGCGTGGGTCAAATACACACAACTCCAAAAGTTGCGCAAGCAATACAGAATGAAAAATATTAAAACAACAGAAGACTGGGAGACAAATGAAGGGAAACAAGTGAAGAAAGACACCCGGAGAGCCCAACCCCACCAGCCAGACTGGCCAGACTGGGAGACACATGAAGAGAGAAATTGGAGAGCGGACTGGCGTAAACAAGTCAAATAAAATACCTCCAACAGGTACGCCAGGTTGAGCTGCGGCCAAAAGCGTGAATGCAAAACAAGAGGAGCCAGACACCAGCAGCCAGACTTGAAGAGAGCGGGAGACACAGGAGCAAACACATCTGGAGAGCCGGAAAACAACCAGCCACTCTGGGAAACAAATAAAAGAAACAAATAAAGAAACACACTGGACCTGGAGCGCCAGACACGAGAAGAGAGACATCCGGAGAGAGCCAGACTGAGCTGGGAGACATCCGGAGAGCACCTGGAAAGAGCCGGACACCTCTTAAGAAAGAATTGAAAACCCCAACGGTAAATTGTTTGGGGAAAGAATGTTCTCAATCACCGCTTCTTCGGAATCAACATGAAGTTGCTGGGGATCGAAATCCATCGCCCCTGAACCCCGGAGTATGATGAGTGTGGGAACCTGAAGGCTCACCGCTGGATGTGGCAAGATTGCAACGATCGCTCCCCTGATGCTCACTCTTGGGAAATTTTCTGGTGACCTTTGCAAATGGCTTCTTTGGGGGCCTATTTCAGGAACCCATTCGTGGAATATCGGATTCCCTTGAAGAAATTGACCCTGGCCCCGACCTGTATTCACAGTAACGGCCGCAGCTTCAACAGATTCCGCACTAACATTAAAGTTTGATGAATCGGACCTGACACGTTCACAGCAGATTGGAAACCTTGTCAATCAGAGCCGCGGGATCACAGAACGATCGTCTACCCGCGGGTTTAATTCCACCTATGAAATAGAAAAAGAAATAGGGGGGTTCACAAAAACCAACCACAGCCACTAGCTGAAAGTTTTTAAGGGCGGTCACATCCTCAATTTTCATGTTTTTCAAACATTCCTCCCGAGGAACCACTCATTGTAGATATTTTTTTTCGGCTCAAGATGGAAAACAAATCCGTGTGGCATGCTGCGGTGATTTGTTCTGCTTTGGTTGTGCTTCTACTTTTCGGGGAGTTGATGGCCCTCAATTGGTTATCAGCCGCGTTTGGACCAGACACTAACAACGAACATGTTTATTTTGCGGTCCTTGGAACCCCCAGGATCACAAACACTGAATGGAAACCGGAAAGACTTAACAGCCGGTTTCAATTTTGATTGCGCGCGGGCATGCCAAACACATTGCAAAGTTTCTTTGCTCGGGAAAATGGGTTGCCGGCCATTTGTCCTTCACTTGTCCGCCCATATGCCGTACACAGCGTTTGCTCCAGCCAACCTCAATAGAAATCATTTCAACATCTCATATGATTTTGACTCGCCTACATCAGCCAATCATAAATGAAGCAAATAATGCTGCATGACCATGCCGTTGGAATCCATGTCATGAATTTTGGCGGGCCACAAAATTTCATTTCTTCGTCGGAGACTGACTCCAGCCTTGACAGACATACGCTGCTCCGCGTGTATTGAAACAAGTTTGAACATGATGGAAAAATTGTCTGCGCCGGTTCTTAGATGTTGACCAACCGGAAACCTGCACACTCGCAGTGGTTCGCATACAGACACAATGCTAATGGTGTTCCAGCCGTTACACGAGGCAGAAGTAGATCCAAAGTCATTGTGAATTGATGTGATTTGTGAATACCCAATCCCCATGTCCTTAGCATCCTGCCTGACTTTCGGCATTGGTCGCCATTTTTGCAATTGCACGTAGATGCGCGTGCACCAGCAAAAGTGCATGGTGGTTCC